CCCCCCCCCCCCATGCCAGCCATCTCCACTGTGTGATTTTTTTGAACTGGGAATGAACAACCCTGCACTAATCCAGCTGCAAGACCTGGCCCATGTAAGTTCTCAGTGGCAAAGGGAGACTCTTCCCTCACTTGAAGAAACCAAATATTGGGCATCCCCCTCTTACCATGGAGACAGGGAAACACGTTTGTCCTCCACACCCCTAAGGCCAGGGAGCACCAGCCACACGGCTGCCAGCATGGCAGGCACTGCTGTCTGCCAGGAGGGTGGCGGAACCTGCACAGGAGCATCCTCCCACATGTTCATGGGGAGACAACCTCTGAACAAGCCTCACCGGCTCGCTCTGTCTCCATTTCCTATCACTGAGTCAGTGGTGACCTCTGAGAGTCATGGGACCAGCTGCTCTGGGACCTGGGCAGCAGGCCTACAGGCCCTGGAGCCAGGGCAGCCACTCACCTTTTTGCCTCCAGTGACAGCTACTTTCCGTAGCTTCCGGTAGCAGTATTTGGCGTAGGTGCTGATGGGCAGACCTGGTGGAAAGGAAAAACAAGATATCAGCCCACAGTGCCATGCACCCGCCACACCAGAGCCCTTCAGAGAGCACCAGTGCAGCAGTTCACACCAGCACAAACAGCCACCCTCCTTCTGCATGGCCTGTTGTGTGAGGAGGGCAGAGAGGCTGCCAAAACCTCACACCGAGCACCCTGAAGTCTCCCGGCCCTGTAGCCCCATGGCAGGCAGCATCAATGCAATTCGGTGCTTGGGCTTGGAGGGATTAATCTTCTGAGTCCACACATAGCTCTGTGCCTCTCGGCCCCACTCCTACAGATGCCTGCCTCTTGCACAGGCAGCCTGACCCTGTCCTGACTCAATACAAGGTGCCCATTTGGCATTCACAGCCCAGGCACACACACACACGTTGAGTCCTCGCTCCTGGCGGCACAGCTGGAGTTATATGTCTCACAGACACAGAGCTGAATATTTACATATTGCCATATCCCAGCCAAAGAGCAGGCAGAGCCAGCCTCCTGCCAGGAAAGATTTCAGTGTTATAAACAAATTGTTTACAATTCAAGAACTGCAGTCCTGGGCTAGTGAGAGAGGCAGCAGCAGAGAGAGGTGTGTGGGGCTGGAGAGGCAACACCAGCACCAAGAGTGAGCTCAGGGTGCAAGGGGAGGTACAGGAAGGAGGCAGGGTCTCCCATCTTCCCAAAGCCCTGCAGAAAGGTTCCTCACTCTCCTGCCTGCAGCATCCTCCAATCCAACCTTGTACCATGAGGCTCAGGCATGATCTGTGATATGAGGAAAATTGGACATGCCAGAGCTTGGGAAATGCAGCCCTCTGCAAGAACAGCTGCTCTGCTTGTGCTTGGTTCAGTGAACTCTGAGGGCGAGTGGAGCCAGGATTCACAGAGCTAATCCCCCTGTGACACCAAGAGAAATGTTTGCACTGACAGAGCACTGATTGCTGGGAGAGTTTTTCCAAAACTGTTGGCCTTTTGTTCTTTTTCGAGACAAACCCAAATTGCTTGCTGAAAGCAGTGAATAGATCTGCCCTATTTGAATCCCTGCCAGGCTCAAAGCTCGCAGCAAAGTTCAAAATATTTGTGGCTTTAAAAATCTACATTCTGGTCAGATGCTGTATATTTCAGATCAGCCTTTCACACACCCTATGGCTTAGGTAAGCTGGTCAGGAGCCTGGAGTTCCTCAAATCCTCTCAATGCAGAGGGAGGACAAGCTCTTCCCAAGCAGAACAAGAATTCACAGAGGTGAGAGATGAGCTTTACCCCATTCTCCTCTCAGCCAGACAAACCCCAGTCCTTGGCTCCCCACAATAAAATGAGCACCCCCTACCTCAATCAATCTGCTTGACAGCTGGAGCGGAGCCTCTCTGTGATGCTGGAGCAATGCCAAAGGAGGTACAACAGCATTCCCCTCTCCCACAGGCAAGGGGAAGGAAAATCAGTTTTAGGAATTTCTCTCTCTTGGGAATATCTAAAGGAAAACATTTCCCATATGCAAAAATCCTGCTAAATCCCAGGCATGATTTATACTAGAAATGTCTGAGGATTAAAGAAAACAAACCCAATGAGCTGCTTTGTGATGCTTCACTACTCCAGGTTATGCCTTCTGTTGTTAAAATGTGCAGACACACCCCGATGCAAAGTGTCATCTGCTTCACGAAGGAGAGAATGGGAAAAAAACTGGACCATATCTTTGCATCACAACAATTACGCGGGAGGCAGCATATTCAAAGCTAATAATAGGAAATGTTTTTTCACACTGTAATTAGACCATGAAACCGATAATCACCCTAGGAGTTTAACAAGGTTTGCAAAGGAACCGGTTGCATTGAAGAGCCTGCATGGCTGATGCGTGGGCAGCAGCCAGACACATTTGCTTGAAGCCTGTTTTGTACTTTCCCAGAAAGCTCCCTGATCCTGGGAAAAGCCTGAAACCTACATCCTGCACTTTCTGCACAAGGTGTTCTGCTCCCAACAAGACCAAGCTGCAGCTTCTGACCCAGAGGGGGTTGACAGGGTCATGCATGGAGCTAACCAAATTTCAAGCAAATAAACTGAAAACTAAACTTGCCCCATGCACAAGGGGCTGGACCCATTACTGCCCATGGACAGTTTTTAGTCTGGAGAAGAGGAGGCTGAGGGGAGACCTCATCCCCCTCTACACAACTACCTGAAAGGAGGTTCCAGAGAGCTGGGGATGAGTCTCTTGAACCAAGTAACAAGCGATAGGACAAGAGGGAATGGCCTCAAGTTGCGCCAGGGAAGGTTTAGACTAGATATTAGGAAGCATTTCTTTCCAGAATGGGTTGTTAGATGTTGGAATGGGCTGCCCAGGGCAGCGGGGGAGTCCCCATCCCTGGAGAGGTTGAAGAGTCAGGTCCACATAGCGCTGAGGGATCTGGTGGAGTTGGGAATGGTCAGTGCTAGGTTAACGGTTGGACTGGATGATCTTCAAGGCCTTTTTCAACTGAGACGATTCTGCGATTCTGTGACCTGAATCACCAAAAAAGCAGAGGGAGGCCTGAGGAACACCGTGACAGGCACTGCTGCAGCGGGCACAGGACGCCCAGCTCTGCAGCCTCACACCTCCCTGTCTGCAGCAGCAGCCACCGGCTCCACACGAGTGCTCCTGGGGCATGTGCAGAGCAAGACAGATCCGCAAAGAGATGCAGAGTGGCTGTGAGGGAAACACAAGGGAGATGAGCAGAATTTAGCTTTAGCCTTCGTTTTTCCAAACCAGTGGCTTGACTTGACCATCTGGCTGCTTTTAAAATGCTCAGCTTTGAGGCAGGCTGCTGGCATCAGCTCATCACACAGGGTCAGTTCTAACCAGCAGCCCTGGTGCTCCCTCCGATCCCCAGCTCACACCCCTCAGCGCAGGGATGGGCTGGAAAGGGCTAACACTGACGGCAATTCCACTTCTCTGAGCACATAATGAATCTGTGAAATCCAGGTTGATCTGTTATTTCCTGTGGTACCACAGTAGCCCCAGGAGCTCGGAAATAGAAAACTACTAACAACCCACACAGTGAAAAATAGTTTGCAAACAAAAATATTTTTCCATGTGCTGGCCTAAAACACATGTGAAGAGCTTCTTAAAGAATCTATTCTTTTATAACAAGTTAAAATCCAGGCAAGGCACATGCAGGAATATACCTTCTGGAACAGACCTGAATGCTCTCCTGCCAAAAAATGTCTTTAAAAAAGCAGCAAATGTAGCAAACAATGTGGATTCAGGACCTGGCCACAGGACATGTATTGTCTGGGTTTTTCTCTGATCAATCGTGACCTCTCGGGGACCTCAGCCTGGCACAGTCAGAGCAGACTCTCAGACCGGGGCCACATCCTGCTGTGCTCTTCAGCACAGGGGTAGGTGCCTCCTGAACAGCTCAGCTAGGCTTTGCACCAGTGCCACTCTCCTGGCTTAGATCTGCCCAGGCCACCCCATTTTGTGGCAGTGTTTCAGCCCCTCTTCTTCACACCACCAGCGTGTCTCTCTGTATCCCAGCAGTGCAGTGCTGCTCTATCACTATTCCCTATGTGGCAAACGCCATGCTTTGTCAGCCAAAGGGCCCTATGAGTCAGCACCTGCATCTGCCACCAGGAGGATAAAGAACAGATACAGGATGCCTGAAAAATTAGTACCCCCCTAAAAAATCTCCCAGCTAACAGCAGGTGCAAGACGCCCTGAGGTAGTGCTGCACCTGAATCATTAACCATCAACTGACAAACTGCCCTTCGAATCTGTCCCATTTCTTCCTAAACTCCTTTATGCTCCTAACCTGCACAAAACTCTACTTTGCTGACTCTTAATGATTTAATTTTGTGCTTCAGGACAGCGTGCTCTTCAGCCTGCTGCCCAACAACAAAACCAGGTGGTTTCCAATTCTTCTGCTACAACAGACAATGGGAAATATTCTTCCTCTTGCTCTTCACAGGTGACCTGCAGTTTCCTTCAACCCACTGACCTTCTCTCTTCTCTCCTCCAGGTTCAGCTCCTGTGGGGCTTCCCCTGCCATACTCATCAGCCCAGGAGGGACTACAGGCAGGACACGCAGAGCAGGCACATCAGAATTACAGCCAAGTACTGGTTTGCTCTCTGTCCCTTTTCCACAAGCTCCTGATCCTCTGCTTGGCTTCTGACTGTTTCCCAGCACTGTGTATACATTTCTGGAAATTCAGATACAGGCTGCAAAATGTCTTTCCCTCCTTGAAACAGCTACGTAAGAGCCTACCACTGCATGTGCAGGTAGGTACATCTCCCATACACTCTGCTTTCGTTGACACAATTTTCTCTGCTGCTTGATCACTCAGTTACCCTTGCTAGATCCCTCTGCACCTTTATAGTTTTTACAGTCCTGAATAATTTTGTACCAACATCGAGCTGCCCGCCAATTATTTGCTCCTTGTATGGACCCAAAGCCCAGCTTATATTCCTGCAGGATCAGCAGACAATCCTCCATCTGAAAACACATGATTTATTTCTACCTGTTATTCTTCTGCCTTTCTATGGGTTATTGATCCACGGGAAGACCTTGCACCACCTTTATATTTCATTTACTCACAGAGAATAATGCTAGAAAATGAAGATTGCAGAGGTAAGCATGGGAAACTTCTAAATAATTTCTTTGGGTGCATGTCAGATGATAAATGTTTAGTCACCTAAGTGTTCACTTACAAGCCTCTGCACTAAAGGAAGTGTGTGTGTGTGTGTGTGTGTGTGTGTGTGTGTGAAATCACTCCTTTAACTCAATTTTTCACTGAAAGATTTACATACATGCCTACGTTTCTACTATTCAGTTCTGTTTGAAGACAGTGCATTTCATTTCCTTATAGATTTCTCTGCTAAACTGCTGCTACAACATCCATAAGCATCTAAGTATTTCAGATCTACTAACAAACTTCTCACAAGTCTTGCAGATTCAGGGTGGTGCATCCTACCTACCCCTCACATGGCCAGCAAGCAGGGCTGGTGGAGCAGATGTAGGTGTTCCAAGGAAAAGCCTGACCTTTCCAGCCCAGCAGCAGATAGAACCTGGTGTGTTCCTGCAGGATCTCCCTTTACTTCAGGTGCGGTTCTGAGGTCAGGCCCCAGAAAAAATCCTCAGTGTTATCAATCACTTGTGAAAAAGCTGGTTCAAGTGATCTGCCAGCCCTCCTGCCTCTTTTGCTGTGCCCCTTGCCATCTTTGGAGAAGCTGGCGGGAGCCTGCAGACCAGCTCATTTGTTCTTAAGCCCCAGTTCACTGCCAGAGCAGGTCTGTGTGCCAGAAAGCAGAGAGGGTCCAGCGAAGGGAACAGCGTGTGACCTGTCACCAGAGCCCAGGCTGAGGCCACAAAGGCACTTCTGACTTTCAAGTGCTTCATTCTGGAAACTTTATAAAGTTATCCTGGCATGCCTTTTTCATAAAATTTATATATATATATATATATATATATATATATATATAAAAATTTCTGAAATTTTTAAAAATTTATTTTTAGGTAAAAACTATTTCTATCTCCCTAAGCACAACTCCAGCACAGGCAATATAGAGAAGCAATTGCACAGGAGAGCCCAATCAGCCCACAGACAGAGCACACCCTGCGCAGAGCAATCTCCAGGGAGTTGCCCCATAAAGGTATCAAAGTCCCTCTAAGCACAAGCAAAATGACTTTTCTAAGACTCAGAATGGGCTGAATTCTCCTGGGCCTGAACAGGAAAGAAAAAAGACATATATCCCTACAAGAAATATAATCCCTCTGTGCAATTTTAGGTCTCTACTCTGAATCCCACTGGAGACAGAGAAGCCACAGACGCTCTTACTGCAGGGGCCGTGACCAAGAGGCCTCCTCTCAGAGACTTCCCCAGACTTGCAGGTGCCTTGGGGGAGCAGTGACACAGAAACGCCAGAGCAGGAGAGTGCAGCTGCGGTGTTCACGTTTCACGCACCCGCCTGCAGGCGTCAGGTAGGGCTCAGCAGTGTAGGAAGCTGGACTCCAGGTCTCCCGGACTAAAAACACTGAGGCCACATGATATAAACTGCTGCCTGATATGAATTCACAGGGCTGGCTCAAGTTTCCTGAAAGCAATGTAAAAGAAAATTGAATGGACTTTGTCTAGCAAGACTTCAGCCAGATGAAGTATTATCTTGCAGTCGGCAGTTAAAACCTGAGGCTGGGGGAATACACGAGCTCTTGTTCATCCTGCACAGATGCTACTGCAAGCCCTGGGCTGCAGACTCCAGGAAGCAGGGACATGGGGAAGCCAATCCTGAAGAGTAGTTCTCTTTGCCACGTATCAGTGTCCTCTCTGAAGCTCCTCAGGTTGGGTGGTGGTTTACAAAATTCATTACTACAACTGAGACAGGTTCTTTTGCTTGCATGGCTTTTAGCACTGGAATGTGCTATAGGAGACTCTATGGCATACATAGACCAATTGAATTACAGACCCAGATCTGCAACCAAATTAAAATACTTTTGCTCACACAACTGTAAGTGAAGGGGGTCCTCCACTGCTGCCACACTGCTACCTATCCCACGTACTGCCCAGGTGCCACCCGCACTGCTGACTGTGCTCTGATCAAACCTCTCACACTGGCCACCTGTAGTAAAGTTTCCTGAATCTAAGTTGATGCACTTAAAGAAATGGTCTGATTTTCAGTGAAGTTCAGTATCCCTGCCTGTCTGAGGTCAGTGCAGTCCTCCCTCTTGGCTCCCTGGATGCTGTGCCTCCCTTTACCTTCATCCTCGGTGTTTTGTTTCCTCTTTTTCCTGGATTTTGAGTTCTTCTTGTTTTTCAGATCCACAAGCTCCTTGATGCGCTGGGCAACTGAAAATTCAAGAGGCTCTGGATTAATAATGTGGAATGATGAACACCAAAGCCCAGAGTGCCCTTAGACATGATAGCCAGCCTAACTCCAGCTGAGGAGGTCTGCCTGGGGAAAGGTCCTCTACCACAGCCAGATACAAATGTATCTGAACAAGGGGCCCAGAACATCACTCAGCTTCTCCAAATGGCCAAATAGTTGAGAAGGGGTTCCAGGCAGCAAGTTTATACCTAAATAAATTTACTGTCTAAATACCAGCAGAAGAAACAACCCACTCAAATAGTTCAGATTACTCCTCCTTGCTGCCTGGATACCGGTGCTGGCAGGGTGATTTTTCACTCCTGGACCAAGTGTAGCTGGAGGGAATCGTTTTTGTGAGAAGTGACAAGGGTTTAGGATCCTCATGAAAACCCGAACCAGTGCTGCACACCCAGCAGTTCACTGAAGGAACCCCACACTAAGGCTATGAGCAGGAAGCCAGAAGGCAAAGGTTGGCACTGCATCACTGCTGCCCCTAGGAGCCAGCTCCATCACTGCACTCACTAGCAGGGGCAGAACTTCTGCACCTGCCCTGGAGATCTGCGGGGGCTTTAACTTGCATTTGAAGCCCCAAGTGGAAACGGGTGCTCTGGTTTCTTGCCTGAGACTGGAGAGGACACAGAAAGCACTGCTGAAATAGTGACAAATCAGCCAATAAATACTCTCCAGGCTGGCACCTGTTTTGTATGGTTTTTTTTTTTCCCCACAGGATGCTGTAGAAATTTAAAATTAGGGTAATAACTGAATATATGCTGGGATGGTCCCAAAGGATGTATCTGAAAGACAGATACATCACATCTCTTCACAACAAAAGCCAGCAGCGTTCAAGAGCCTCCACTATCTCCCAAGCTAAGGCCAGTTCATAATGTTTGCAATGGCTCCCTTAAAAACTTCTGTATTAACATTCATCTCCTTTTTTTTGCCTGCTTTAAGGAGCTTTGAAGTAAATCATGTCTTCAGAGTTGAAGACATTCAGAGTTGACACTTGGCGGGTCCAAATCAACTCTTTTCAGTGCTGATCTTGCCATGCTGATCGGTGAGATGAGCACAGACTAGGGCTGGCATTTCTTTGCCAGACACAAGTGAGAACTGCAGGGAGATGAGCTGGTAGCAACTTCATCCTGTCAAGGAAGGATGAACTTTCCCAGCACATGGTGCTGGGCTCACTGACATAAACCACAGCACTGGCAGGTGACTACCTGTATTTTTGAAAACCAGACAGCCCTGAGTAAGTGTCACAACCCACCAGAATGCTGCTGGGAACAGAGTGGGTATGCATGAGGCACTTACTGTTTTCATCACTGTCAAGGTGGCGATAAATGTAACCTTCCAGATAAGACTGAAATTTGGGTGATGGGGAGAAAAAGGCCAGACTGATGGCCATCAGTTCCCAGCCCCATGCCAGACTTCTGTAGCACGTATTATCTGTGGTCTGCCGAATCAGCTGTATATAGAGCTCATCCCGTAAACCTTGCATGCTCCAGCACTTGGTGACCGTGACCAGCGCCACGTGATTCTGGTCCATGCGAGTCTGACGATCTCCCATGTAGCTCTGCACCAGTTTGAACATCTCACACGCCTCTTTTTTGATGGTGCGGTTGCTAGTGATGAGCATTGGCTTTTTGATAGAGCCGCCATTCCAGGACAGCATGTTGGAGATGGAGATCCTTCGGCGGAAGATGCCCTGCGTGTGCATGTTCAGGTTTTTAGAAGCCCAGTCTGCCATGCTGCTCTGAGAGATGGGCTTCCGTAGAGTATTGTAAGGGAAGTGATACCCTACACAGCTGCCAGACTGGCCACTGCTCTCCTGCTTGGGGTCCGGCTCTATTGTCCCAGGCTGCAATGGAGAACAGATGTGTTAAGAGCAGCTTAGGGTGACTCCTTACCCTGCTAAGAAAATTATCAACAGTGAGTCATGAAGCTACCAGCAACTGCAAAACGGTGAATGTGTACAAAACATGATTTAGTGCAGAATCAGTGGCTGACATCTGTAGTTCTGCAAGAGCCTGGCTGGCACAGCTGCACACTGATACTGTCCCCAAAGGAAGCACTGGGACATGGAGTACCAGGGTTGATTATCCAAGCTGTCCTAGAGCTCCAGGAACCAGCCCAAGCAGGAGCTGGGCTGATTCCCAGAGCAGCAGTACAGCTCTGTGGCACCAAGCACACACCAAGGAGCCAATTTATTCTCCCACTGTTCACCTCTCAGTTCCTGCAGAGCCACAGGAGCCCAGCAAGTGGGTGGAGAACACGAGGAGGTGGCAGAGACTAGACAGCCACAGCAGTAATAACATATTTCCTTCTCACCTTTACCCTTTGTGGCTCCTACAATTGCAGCTGGTTACTGCCTTTACTATTTTTCCAAGTTCTAGCAATAAAAAAAAAAAAAAAGACAAAACCAAATCAACATGGCTAGCAACTATCAGGAGCTGCTGAGATTTGGGCAGCCTGTGCCTGGACTGAGGCACTGAAAACATGTATCTCAATTCCACTATGACCTTCACAATGGAAATGCTGGCCAGACACACAAACAGGTCAAGAGAAGCTAAGAGAGGCACAGTGGAGCACAGGCACAGCTATTTTGATGGCAAGGCTGTCACCCAAGTAGGATAAATCATGTTTGATTTGAAGTGAATGAGACCCTGATATTCGCATCAGTCAACTTTCACCACTAGCAAAGCTGGCTCTCCCACCACCCTACAGACACACCACAACCTCCTGCCAAACAGGGTCTGGGCCTCAGCATCCACAGGGAAGATACAGGCTGTGGCTGCAGACCCAGCGCCTCAGTGAGCACCACTGCGCAAGGGTCAGGAACACCTCTGCAACGGGCTCCCGACCACGTTTTCCTATCCGAGACAGGTGTAACCTTCCCCAAAATGAAATCAGAATTGCTCACACGTACTGGGTTGTTTTTCCTTCTCAGTGAACTAGGGACAGCTATGCCCCACCTGCAGTCTGCAGTGATCAAGCTCATCTGCTACAGGGACAAGTCCACTGATCACAAGTTCACAGAGATAAACAGTAGAGACGAAGACCTTCTCTCCTTTCAGACTCTGTATGCAGTTTTTACATTGGAGCCTTGTCCAGCCTTCTTCCCCAGTGGTTGCTACAGACAACTACATCATTAGAGCTTTGGTAGTACTGATTCCAAGAAAATTATGTGTAATAACTACTTGTGAAAATAAGACACTTATTTTGCCCATCCAGACTTTTATGTTTTGGATAGAAATGTCAGCCTGGGACTCATATTGAACTCAAACACCCAACAAGCTGTTTTAGGAAAGAGACTTTTTTGTTGGACTTTAAATTCCCATGTATAGCAATTAAGAGCTAAACAGCCCACACTTTGGACTACATTCTCCAAGGAGATCTCCAGCAAATAGAGAAAAGTCAAACAAGATAATCTTGAGACTCTTGGTTTTTAAAGGAGGACAAAGAAACAGAAATCCTGTAAATTTTGGTTCTGAAGTGGAAAAAGTGAAATAAGACATACATTTTCCTTCTTTGCAGATCACCTTTAACTTGCACACCACACTATTCTGGTCCTGGCCTACAGTCAAACCCAAAATCACATTAGTTCTTAAACATTTAGAACAAGTCAGCGTTTTCTTCTCAGTAAGAAGGAACTACTGAACTGACAACAGAGGCTTGTGCAGTCCAACCCTTCCCTATCATACACCCAACATGTACCTACAGGCAGATGATGGGATTAGCACATATCACACTCCACCTCTTATCGCCAGCCTGGGGCACAATCATTTCTCCTGCTTTTCTACTTCATTTTGGTTTTTTATCCCTTGAGTTTTATCCCTCTTCACTCTTTCTGAATTCACTCAACATGTTGCCTAAAAAATCCCTGCCTGCAGATCTTCTCTGCCACCTCCATCCTCAGTCTCCTTCAATTCACCTTCCACATCAGGGGCTGGTTTCCCTCCTACCACCCTAATTGCTCTTTCAGCATCTTACTTCTGAGGATCCACCTTTTCATATTCTCTAGAGGTTCAACAAGCTCTTGGTTCTTTCCTCTTCTCTCTCTAGAGTTTATCTCTCAAATCTCGTTCACACAACTACACAGCTATTATCTTTGTGCTGACAGTTCACATCCATCTCTGCTCAGCCTGTCCCAGAACTTCTGCCCACTCTCTTCAGATAATGAATCTCCTCGTCTTCCAATTCTCCTCTCCATCGCACAGGTCCAGCACAGAACAATTGCTGGTTGACTCAAGCTGTGCCATTTTCAGCTAAGGCAGCGAATTTGCTGCCGTATTCTCTGTAGCCTCCTCCCCTTCTTACTTGGACTCTTACATCTCAGAGTATTTCCATACGCAGAGTATTTACTTATTGACTTACTGCCTTTACCAAAACATCCATCTTAAATCTTCCACTGTATTCTCCTTCTCCATCCTACATGAATTTTTTTTCATTTTCAAGGCCATTCACAGCCAACTCACCATCTCTTGTGCATAATCACCATGAAGTCTCAGCTCTCTCTGTCAATGCAATGAGGTGTAACACATTCTGAAGACCAGACAGCGGTCTTCTGACAAGTCTAAAGAGGCTGTGAAAGGAAACTGCTGAACTATTAACTGTAACACACGTCACATAAACTCAGACTGGCCCTGTGCCTGAAAAATGAAAAACGCAGGAACGTGATCTCAGTTTTAAAAAGGGTTTCAGGTGAAAACAAGACACTGTTACAAAAAAAGAGAACACATACACATAAATCTGATACAGTAGGGAGGTGTCAGCCTGGTTTTTAGAGAAAAATTGTATGTCACAGGTCTACTGGAATAATCTGAAACGGTCAAGGAGCTTTGCCAAGTTTCTCCATGAAAGGTCGTGGACTAGCAAACAGGAGAAAAGACAGAACTAAGTGTTAAAATAGTCAGTTTTTATGCTAGAGGATTGTCATCAGCTGTGCCTCACAGAAGAGATGCAGACTCAGACTGTTCAGCAGTAATGAAATAACTGGAAGAGTGAGCAAAGAGAAAAAAGACAAAACCTTCACAGGATATAGAATCACCCATGTAGGACCTAAATGCAAACTAAAACCATGAAGCAGGAGGTTCCTTCAAATCCCAACAGGAGAAAAGATAGCAAACTAATTTCTGCAGAAGTGCTGTTATAGAGAAAAACTACTCCACTTGTGCAGGCACACTAACAGGATTTAAAATAGCTGTTTCCAAATGTTAGATGCTAGAGTCACTGCCACAGGTTTTCTCAATATTTCCATTCAATGCTCAGGAACAGTCGGAAGGGAGAACAGAACATGAGGAACTATTAGAAAAAGGAGAGGAAAAAAAAAAGATAAAACACTGCCATCTGGCCATGCAAACCCTGACACCTACATCCTGCACCCCACCAACTCTGGCTATCCCAGTGCAGAAAATACCTGTGAGGGGCAAGGGCTGTCAAAGAAGACATGAGTGCCAGTAAAATAATCAGGCAGCAGATTTACACAAATAATACAGCAGAGCACCCAACAGTGCTGAGGCCTTGCTGGACATGAGCCCCTCCACAATTCCCCCTCCTCTCACACCACTGGCCTGAAATGGCATCTTCAGCTGCGAAGTTGTGAAGCTTTGCGACCCCATTTGCTGTTCTGCAGGCACAGATGTGTTCTGTCTGCAGCATGGCCACTAATCCCATCCAGGAGCAAACCAGGGACTCGGCTCTGTGCCACAGCAGTCCAGCAAAGGTGTGCGATTCAACCTAGTGTAGATGGGGAGTTACCTGGGAGGAGTGGCGTGTAGCATCTGACAAAGCCAAACTTGTCTGGCTGGTCACATTCTTTTCTAGAGAATCTATTTTCTCAAAAGTCCTCTTCTGCCTTACTGTGTCCTGTGGAGCAGCCACATCATTGAGAAAGCTGCCCCTGCTCTCCAGGCCCTGTCTACACAGGGACCTATTACTAGCTGAGATGTCATCCCTTGAGCTCTGGCTGATGCATTTTTTCAAGTGGTCAGACTGAAACCTGACTTTGCTGCTCTCTGCTGGGATGCCACTCTCCAGACTTTCAGCATCAAGGCTGGCTTTGCTTCCCCTGCAGGCTGCTGACCTGCCCACCACAGCACGCATCTCAGCGATGAGCTTATCATTCAAAGCCGTGAGCTCGCTGCTGCTGCCTACAGAGCCAGGTCTTCCTTGAGCTGTTCCTTGCCTCCTTCCTTTCCTTTTTCTCAAGCTTGGAGAAGGGCCAGTTGAATAACCAGAATCCTGATGGCTTATACCAGTTGGGTACTCCTGAGTTTGCAGGCTGTTCTGTCGACTGTGGTGGGCTTCCATGTTCTTGAGGACGTTGGCTTCCAAGATCCTCCAGGACTGCTTGAAACTGTCCTTTGAAGTAAGCTGACCAGGCAGTTTAGTAGAGGCATCAGCTGTTGTGGCAGAAGAGTGGGAGAGTTTGGAAAACTGGTCAACATTGACCATGTGTTTTATATATTCTCTGCCAGCTGGGCTGTATTCAGTGGAAGAGGGATTTCTTGCATACTTCTTTCCAGTTTGCTGCTGCTGCATACCTGGATGCTGTAATAATTTTGTTGGCTGCAGCTGCTTTTTTAAGCTATTGCTTGGTGACCTTGGTGGTGACATCCCACTCATACTGACACTTTCAGTGTCCATATCTACTGGTGGCTCATCATAAATTGGAGACTCCAGAGATGGCTCATCATATATAGGTGCAGGGGAGGCATACTTGGGAGATGCAGGCTGGGGGGTTCCTGTCTGGCTCCTTGAAGGTGTTTGAGAAGTTGGACCATTCATCAGGACTAGGCAAAACCCACCATTCTCTGTCTTTTTGATCTGCATAGACTGCTTTGTTTCTCCTGTAGGCATTTGCTTTATCGCTCCAGGGCTCTGGGACATGGATTGAGGCTGAGCATATATGGCTGGTTTTGGAAGAGATTTCTGGTCATTGGCCTCTGGAGCACTCTGCAGCTGAAGTGAACTGTTTGAAGAGCTCTGTATCTGCCTCAGACTGTTCACTTTGACCAACATGGCTGCTTTCGTGCCTGGCAGAGGCTGCCAGTGGGTAGGAGTCTCCCTGAAAGAAGAAAGATACAAACACAGGGAATTATTTAAGAACTGTATTAACTGAAGTATCCTCTTATTTCTACCCAAATACCAGGCTGTTAGTCTCAAAGTGCCTGGAGATTTCCCAATCAGTTCCTCATTGTTTTTTTCTTGGAGATCACCCTTCCCAAATCAGAAACGCATCATTGTTACACACATGATAAATTTCTAAGACATGAACAGCAGAACAATGAGATGAAACCAAGTTCATCATACTAAAACCTGTCTGGTATCAGCAGCACGTTGTTAGGAAACAACCTACGCTCCCCAAGGTTCATTAGCTAGCACAGCACCCAGAACAACCAGCTGAAGACCAGTAAGTGATATTGCATCACTCAAGCAGAGAGTTGGAAAAGAACCCAAAGTGTCTGCCTTTGGATTGTCAAACTATGATGACAGTCCTTCCATACTTACTTTTTGATCTAAGTTTCCAAATGCATGTTTATTTTACAGGAAACCTGTAAGGCCTATGGGAGATGTATGGGGATGGACATCCTCAGCTCACAGGATGCATGTTACACTCCCACACAACCCACCAAGCCTCTGTGTAGAGCATCCTCCCAGTCTAGGCCCTCAGATCTGGTTCCTTTGGCCAAACCTACTGGCCCTGCCCAGCTTACACAGCTGTGAAATTTTCTGCTGAGAGTAGCCTCTGACCCATGGTGGTGCTCGGGATCCATCACAACCTGACATGCCCACTGCAACATCCCAGTGCAAGAGGTGTACTCTGCAGTGTAATAACCGCCTGCTGTCAAGGCCTGTACTTGTAAGCTCTGAAGAAAAGAGAATGGAAAGGCTGTTAAACCAGCCTGAGTTTCCAGGTCTTCAAAGGCACCACTGTGCCCAGGAAGGCCCCCTTGAACCTGGCCCCATTTTGTGCCCTTCCTCTACATATCTGCTGGCAGCCATCGCTGGGTAAAGCCTGAGGGCGCACTGCGAGTGCCCCATCTGCAACAAGAGATGTTCCCCTACACCTTCATGGTTATTCTGCGCTGTTTGAACTATAACACTTGTTCCCCATCCCACGCTGCTAGACGGACTCATCTCCACCATGTGCCCAGAGCTGCCTCTTAGTGATGCTGCCCCACCAAGCCCCAAGATATCCAGACACCCCAACCCTCCTGCGCACTGCTCCTGCTCTCCAGAGACCTTCCACCCCTTGGATCCCAGTGCCCTCCTTCACACGGCTTCTGTGGGGGTGCTGCCTGTCATCCCCCCATGGCTCTCCCAGCAGCAGGGTGCATCTGCTCACACCCTGCTCTCCCCACACACCACCCCAACAGCACATGTCTGCCCCACAGCAGCAGCCCCATGTCACTGTGGTGTCCTATTTCACCTGCTCCCTCCCCGGTTATCTACCCCACACCCAATATCCCACGTCTGCTCCCAATCACTCCACTCCTAAGGGGGTAGTGTGCTCATTCTCCATCCCCTGCTTACCATATTTTTGGCAAAACATGCTCTCCAATGGCACCGCGCCTCTGTGAATCCCAGGAGAAGCACGGCTGAGGCCGGCGCTGACCCACCACAGGCGCAGCAGCTGGCTCCCAGCCAGGGTCCAAAGGCCCCCGCTGCACCACTGCGTCACTGCTCTGCTCCTTCCCCATGACAGACAAGCAACTCTGCCTCATGCAACTCTCCAGGTGACCAGAGAGGGTTTGAGAAAGGGCTGTCTTCTTCTGTTCCCATGCTGGGGTCCCCCTTACTCTGGGGACCTCCCCCAGCATCTCCCACTGAAGCACAAAGAGTTTTCCTTTAAGGGAGCTTCTGACACTAGTTCAAGATGGAGATGCCACCGCTGTGACGAAGGTACCTCCCCAGCCACTGCCTGCCGCTCACAGCATCGCAGCTCAGTACTGACCTAAGCCCCAGCCCAAGAGTGGCTGCTTGGGAAACACCGAGGGATTTGGGAGTGGCCTCCCTCCACCTGCCCAAGCTGCCATCAAGCACAGCCCCCACTCTCCCACTCCTGTTTTGCCATCAGTGGCTTGTCCTCTGCATGCCTCTTCCCAAAGGCACAATGCTTGGAGCGAGGGGTGACACCAGCTGCCCCAAGCGAGGATGCGGGCAGGGAACAGCCAGCAGTAACGGCAGGATGAGAGCGGCATTCACGAGGACACACTGCCCTGCAACCCACCAGACATCCCTCCCCGGGGGCTGCAGGGACTGCTCCTCGCACTGGTGTGTCCCTTCTACATACAGCCAAGCCCTGATCCCAAGTGGAGGTGCTGCTGAACACCAGGTTATTCCTCAAAGAGCTCCTGGACTAACAGGAAGAACCAGAGCAGCAACATTTGGTAGCTTTGAAATGAGCGTTTCTGACACCCCACCACCTACCTCTCTGCTTAAGTTGTACCAGCAGGTCGTTCTGCGGCAGGGAAGTGAGACTGGCAGAGAGACGTGTCAATGACAAGCAGAACTGAGCCACTCACAGGCTCCTGACTCGGCAGGCAGACCAGGAGTGATCACATGGGAGTGATTTTAAACACTGTGGCTGGAGCAGCATCACGTCTGGCCCAGCACTATCCAATGTTGGAGCCCAGGGGAGAAGAGCCCCAGGCCTGCAGCACCACAGACCCAGAACTGCAGGTGTGTCCCCCTCCCTTGACAGACCCCAGCTGTAAGGGAGTTGGAAAATAACCCTGTGGGAAGGTGCTGGGTCCCACATCCCATGAGCTACCTCTCCCTGATTTACAACACTGCACCTCCAGCCAGCTCTGCTTGCAGTGGAACCACCCGCTTGGCGAAGGCTTGGCAGACCCACCTCCATCAGGCATGGCCCAACCAGACTCATCACCCTGCGCAGGCTCAGCATGCGCTGGTACTGCCCAGGACCAGCAGGCCCACTAGTGCCCAGTGCTCGCTAAACCCCTACCGCTCTGGAGCGGCAGGAACTCAGCCCGAAGCTCTGCTGCCTCCTCAATCAGCTCTGGGTCACAGTGAGGAGCCTCTCCCTGCCTGCAGAGCAGGCAGCGGTACCACCTCCTGCCCAGTCATATCGGTGCTTGTACTGATCTGCACCCACACGGCAGCGCTGGGCACATCCAGATCTGTCACTGCTCGGGTGCGGGGCTGGGCATCTGAACAGCACCACCAGCCCAGCCTCCAGAGACAGGTGCCTGCCCCAGCGTGACATTATGATTTTAGGGTCCTGGGGGATGCCACCTGGTGACAACCTTCCCCCTGCATCCAGGAAAAAGAGCAAAGCCCAGATTTTGGCCCTCAGATGAGCAATGAGGAATTTGATATGGAAAAAAAAAGGAGGAGGGTGCTGTGCTCCCAGACTCCCGCAGAAGATGAGCTGCCTACCTGTGACCCAGTGCCAGACGGAGGGTGGAGGGCAGCAGGCACCCTGAAGCACAATGGCATCTTGCTGCCTCAAGTCACCTCACCAGGGCATGAGAAAGGCATCCCACACCTTTGCCCTGCCTGGGACGGGATGACAGGTTGGGGCCTCGGCACAGGTGGGATGCAGTGGGGAGCAGCAGGAGCTCCGTGCCAGAATGGGGCTCTCCCTGTGTCTGCTCCACAGATGCCGTGAGCCCAGCAGGACAGGTTAGACAGACACAACCATGGCAAGGCAACGAGGCAAGGGGCTCTGTCACAGACAGCAAGCCTCCCTCCCCACAGCAGGTTTTCGGCATTTGCCGTCTGCACCCTGACAGCAACACGGCTGGAGAAACAGGCTCCACTGCCTCTGCAGACTCATGTTCCCTCCTTCAGGCTGAGGGGCAAAGCTGGTGTTGGGATCCAGCCCAGACCATTTCAGACCAAGTGCTGTGAGCCCCGGGGGTGGCAGAGCCCAGAGGCGCTCAGGCAGCTCTGAAGGGACGATGGCACTGGGATCTTTGGCATGACAGCCACACAGAGCGGCCAAGCAGGGTGGGCTGCAAAGCACAGAGGCAGGAGATAAGCAAGGCCACCACGCCACTGCTCCTTCCCAGCTGCAATTTGGAATGCAAGGACTGTTCCAGGTACCCAAGAATTTGATGGTTCCACCAGGATATCCGGGGGGGGTCTTACAGGGCTGGAGGAAACAGGGGAGCTGTGCCACTCTGGTGTCACTGAGGGCAGAGGGGGCCAAGCTCCAGCCTGACCACAGCCACCATGCTTCCCCTGACCAGGAAGTTTGTAAGTGAATGTGATTGAGAAGATAAACCTCCAAAGCTGTGCCATAGCCCACCTGGCCTGTCAGTCTCATGTTAGACACAACAGAGCCATCTCCAGCCGCCCCAGCCACCAGAGATCAGAGGAAAGAGGCACCACTGCAGAGAGGTTTTTTTTGAAAGAACCATTTCCACAGCCATGAATGTTCTCCTGGGGCCATGTCTGGATACAGCTTCCCTCAACCCCATCCCTGGGCTGCTAAGAGACTAAGCAGAGGAGAATGAGGTCTCTCTGGCTTTCCAGCATGGAAAAAGATTCAGCCTTGTCCTTCTGAGCAGTAAAAGCCCTGATGGAAAGCAAAGCCAGTGGTGTAAAAACATCCCCACGCAGCCTTTCAGCTGTGCTCTTCAGCCACCAGCAGCAGAGACCCTGCCGAGTCCCCTGGGACAGCTCCTTCGAGGAATGCTTTCAAGTAGCTCCAACATAAACACTGCAATCCAGCGCTGGCTTTCCCAGCCCGCACCCAGCTCCAGCAGGCCCAGCATATCCGGCAGCTCTTCCCAGGCTCCAGAGCTCCATTGTTTGCTCTTCCCTCCCAGATGCCTGGAGAAAAGGCCCTGCACCTCAGCTCTGCCCTCTCCAGCAGTTATTTTCCTGGTGGTCTGACAAAGGCAAGTGAGCAGGAATGTTTGTATTTCAGCAGCAGCTGCTCCCTCCAGAGCCCACAACAGAGGCAAGGATGAAGAGTCCGCAGAGGTGACCCACCCAAACCCAGGTCTGCATATGGCCTCAGGGAGAGCTCTGTGAACATGTGCAAAGCATGGTGTGTTTAAGAACCCAGCCCCAAGGCCAGCAGCACAAGAAGGAAACAAGCATGTATTTATTAGGAATCCTTATGGTGTCTCTGGCCTAACTGTAAAGAACTTAACATGGGCATCACTTACACTGGGCCTTGAGAATTGTAAGCCCATAATGAGGCAAACCAGACCGGGAAGAGCAGAGGCACCCTCATAGCCAACTTCACAGGCTTCACATCACGTCCCCCCTAACTCCCCTTTCAGCACACCTTCCTGGAATGGTAACACCAAGCCAATTCTCCCTCCCAGTCCAAGATGTTGAGCCATGGTGAAGGTGGGCAAGGAGGGGACAGGCAGAACAACCTACTGCCCATGCAGAAGGGACCCACATCTCTCTTGTTCTGGGGGATGGGATGTTCCCAGGGATGGTGGATTTCTACATGGAGGATTTGAGATCCATTGTTATCAGAAGGGGAACCTTGGAAACCCCATCGTGAAACAAGTCCCTGACCCTGGGAGAACCACAGAAGGAAGAGGAAAAGGGCCAGTCTGCACAGACAGTGGGGCTGGGGATGGCAGAGCCCCCTCCCAGCCCTGACTGATTGCGTGTCCAAACGCAGCACACAAGCTCTGCTCCCAGCTATACTGTCCTCTTCAGGCCTCAGTCCTCTGCAGCACCCAGCCCGTTCTCACCCATGAGGTCCAAGGAGCTCCAGCAAACCCCAGTGCAGCTGCAGCAGCTCACAAGACACTTCCAAAATGCTACCAGCTGCTTTCAGCCCTAGGCTGGTCTCACAGTCCCCAAGGGATCACATCCATCCTTTGCAGAGCTTTCCAGCATGTGAAAGGATCATTTAGTCCCCATCTCCCACAGAGAGAGTCTGTCTTCCTACTAGGACCCCAAGTGCTCAGGAGGGGTCTCGAGCTGTATGTAATGGAGGATTTGCCTGCTGTCCTTGCTCAGGTGAAGGAGAAGCAGAGCTGGCACTGGGCTGGGCAGCCCCAGGAGGTGCAGACAAAAAACAACACAGGAGCAAGAGCACACGCACAGGCAGAAGGGCTTCCCCAGGAGGCTCCAGGGATCACAGCAGCATCTCCCCCTCTGCAAACAGGTACCATTTTCCCAGGGGAACTGACCTCTCTGTGTCACCCAGGGAAGCCAAGGACAGTGTCTAGAGAAGGCTGCTCCAGGCTGGTGCACTTTAGAGAGCTAGAAGAGCAGCAGCGAGCAGTGGGGCAGCAAGGGAGAGGGCGGGATTGGCACGTAGACAGAGGAAACAGGCAGCAAAGAGTGGCAGTGTAATGCCCTCCGGTCCAGGGAGAGTTTCCACTATGCTTGAGGCTGTTGCAGCAGCAGTGAAACATGACAGTGAGCACAGCAGATTTAGCAGTGCTGATAGAAGGCACAAGAGAGGAAGGGTGGGAAAAAACAGCCTGCTAAAAGAAAAGAGCCCTCAATCACAAAGTATTACTGAAAAGAAAGGATGAAATCCCTTCCCCCAGCTCTCTGTGGCATGTGCTTGCAGGAGGCCCCTCTTGGGGACCATGTCTCCTCTGGCCTCTTCATCTATTATGGGATGACAAACATGAAGGTAAGAACAACAAATCTTTTGTGCTGCCATTAGAAAGAAAGGCAAAACCGTCTTGGATGCAGGTACCTATAAAGATGTCAAATGCTACCAACAGCACTCAACATATTTGCCCTTTGTTTATACAGCTGTATCCCTGTCGAGGGAAGGAAGAGGACACACTTATATTTGTCTTTGGAGAACACCACAGACCAACAGAGCTGACAAGCTTTGTGTTCTTCTGCTGTTACTAGATCAGACATCCCAGCAAGAACATTAGATCCCACCTAGAAACACTTTCTTTGGGCTCAGCTCTCTGCTCAACGTTTTACAAGCTAGCAGAAGACAAGAAATCTCTCCTTGGGTGTCAGACTTGGGTAAGGAAATTGTTCTCCACACCATGACTGGACATGCAACCCCCACTCACAAACAGTGGCAACAACACATAATGGATGTGCAAAGAAACAGTGCTCAGTCTCCTGCTTCCAACAGAGCAGCTTCCACAGGCAAATGCTGTCAGCTTACTGGTGTGAGGGTCTGGAAGAGCCTCACAGGTCCAAGCAGCCGGTTAGCACCTAAGCAAGCTGCCACTCACACCTTTCCCAGTGCTTGCCCTTCAGTGTTTGTCACAGGCTCAAAGTGTACCAGGGTTGCTAGAAAAAACATGGACTTGGGATGGAGCAAGGACGACCTCTTCCCACTCCCCTTCCTTGCAGGAGAACCGGCAGTGGTGCCCAAGGTGCTGCTTCCTCCTATATGAGGGGGCCTCCATGGGGCTTGTGTCAAGAGGCCCAAGGGCTGGTGTTGCTTATCCCTTGAGGCACAGCCATTTCCCATACTGAGGCAGAGGAAGCTGCATTCCCCTCCTGAGAGCCTGAGTCAGATATACTTTGGTGCCATGGAGCTCAGGATATTTTATGCCCTGTGCAAGGCTCTTGCACTTGCTCCCCTGGAGACAGTTTGTCAGTACCTGTCCCAGCTGCAGAGGGACAAGGAAGGGAAGCTGGTCAGCTCATGCCAAATCCCACGTGCCTGTGGCACACCTGTGGTCACTGGAGGGGGGGGGGCAGAGGGAACTGGGAGCTACTGGGGTTCAGCTTTAGGCATTTCTCACTGAGTTTCTCCTGGCAGGGCAAGAATCATCCTCTGGATGGGTCTGAAGCTCAGAGGGGCTGCTCATGGGGCAGGAGGCACTGGAAGCATCTCAGACACCAGTAAAGCTCTGAGCTCTTTCTGTTGCATTTTGTGTGTCATGCAGATCTGAAGTGAATACAGGACAGCAGACAAGTGATAAACGTCAGTTTAGGGTGCTTCAGAGCATGTATTTTCCAGAATAGGCATCATACATGGTTTTCATCATCTTGGCTTTTTAATTTTCTCCTTGCCAGCACCAGGCACACAGAAAAGCAACCTCAATCCAGAAATCAAGCTATTAAAGGATCCTGGCTTGCTGCATTTCCCAGAAGTGGGGACAAGGAGCACTGGCATGGATGGCAGGAGTGCCAGGCTTACTTGAGCTTTACTCTAGCCCTTCGGTGAGTCACTTGTCAGCCTGATTCAATGGCTCCCAGCACGGCCTCCCCAGCTGTTGGTACCACGTTCTTCATGGCAGGAGGGAGGCAGGGCAGTGCTGAGCAGTGACCCAGGCAGAAGGGCTGTCCCTGCAGAGACCATGGAGGGGATGCTTTTGTGCAGCTAAAGTCGGCAAAGTTTCAATACAAAAAACCTGCCAAGTGTCATCAGACTGGTTTGAGTGTAAGAAAAATCTCTTATCCAAACAAAATAGCACCCCATTATCGTTCTTTCATTTTGGGCTTGATGTGATCAAGTAACTGTGTCTGGGAGTTCTGTCCCTGCAGCCCAACCTCTTGCCCTGGCTGAAGCTGCAAGCACATGCAAGGAGCTGAGTGAGTGGAGAGGGAAAGAGCTAGGAGCAGTCAGGCTAACATGCACCCGAGAGCAGCCGGGCCCACCACACCCTGCAGCGGCCTAAGCCCCTGCACAGGAGCTCAGCTGTCCCTGCAAACCCCACCATGAGTGTCCGACAGAGCTCTTGTCCCTGTGTGACAATCTTGCATATTCCCTCTCCTTCTGTTCAGCACAAAGAGCTCTGGAACAATTATCATCTTTTGATGTGTTTTTACAGTGCCTCACACAAACCAGGCCTGGCCCAGACTACGGACATGCAAGAAGAGCTGCAGTAGTGAAGGCAGACAGCTGTACAGGGGCAAGAGGAGGACACGCAGAGGTGATCACTGGCCTAGCAGCACCTTTGCCCCAGTGCTACATCTTCTCAGGGCAGCACAGCTTCCCAGCCAGTTTGCCACATAGCAAGTGCCTGCCTGGCAACTGAAGCAATCCATTAGATATAAGAAGAGAAGGCTAAAGCTCTCCTTACCTGCCAGGGTCTTTCTTCTTCTCTGCAGAGCAGTCCCCCTTGCCCTTCATCTCCTGCAGAACGGTCATTTGGATAGGGGTGCTTCTGCCATCGCTGCCAGTGCTGCCCTGGTGCTGCCGGCCCTGGCAGTCGGGCTGGGAGCTTCGCTTCATAGCCTGGAGCTGCGCCAAGGGCACAATGTCGCAGCCCTGGGGCCGGTGCCACACCGTCTGCCGTGTGATAGCATTGTAGTAATAGAAACGGTTGTTATTCTGGTCGAAGAGCTCCCACCACTGCTTCTGGTCCGACTGGCGTACCTTCAGGTTGGGAGGGGGCTCCCATCCGCACTCACCGGTGGTCAGGTTGACGTACATCCGCTCCTGGGAGCGAGGCTCAATGATCTCCACCCAGTCTGAGCTGCAGGGACATGAGAGCTACATTAGTCTGGGCCAGAGGCTCAAGGCAAATGGGTTGTCTGGGAGTGCTACAGAGCCACTGCCTCTGGCCAGGCAGCCATGCTGCAGATCAAAGCATTGCTTGGGGCCGTTCAGCAATCTAAGGAGCTCAGGGGAAGACAAGGGAAAGTGTTTGAGATGAGGTCGAGCCAAATCAGCAGCTCCCGGGCACAGGGAAAGGGAGTTCACCCCCCAGCCCAGCCCTGACATCAGCTCACACCACTCACCAGCCCAGGACAAGCAGCATGGGGCGGGCAAGCATTGTCTGCTGATGCTCTGATAACTCAGATCAAGGGCTGGAGCGACTGCAGGATCACCGGCGCCTGGCGAGATCCGCAGCAGAACCTGCCCTCGAGAGCAGGGAGGATCTGCAAAGCAGGATCTGCTCCTTTTGGAAGCTGCACCCTGTTGTTAATGCCACCTGGGGAGACCAAACCCCTGGTTCCCAACCACAGGGGCAGCCTGTCCATGCAGAGCTAACATGCTGTGGGGCTGGAAGGGACCTCTGGGTCATCCAGGCCCTGGCTGAAGCCCACATTTGCTTGATTGAACAATAAATGCAGGGAGTGACTGATGGATGAGCCCAACGACATTGCAAGCTCTTTCCCTCCTTCCTTGGCTGATGGGACAAAGCCCTCAGTAGCCCTTTGGGTGTGAGGTGATCCAAAGGACAGGCTCAGCCTGCCACTGATGTATAACCCCTCTGCTGCCCCGAGAAGCCTCTCCAGCCCCTGGGTCCCTCACCAGCATCCACACTGGCCCAGCCTAGGGCCTGGTGAGAAAGCAATGCAGGCAGTGCTGTGGGGCTGGTTCAGGCAGATGAGGGCAATGGGTTTGTGGCAGCAGAGGTGTTGGGCTTCACAGTTCTCATACATGGCATGTCAGCTTTAACACTGACCCACCCACCCCAAAAAGCTGGCCTGAATGAGAGCAGCAATGCTCAGCAAAGCCAACACCTCCACAGTGCAGCAGCCAAAACAATTTTGGCTAACCCAGGTAAACAGAAGAAGGGGGTGCAAACCCCAGCAAGGTCTCTTTCCACACAGGAGAGATGCTGCCACTAAAGTGATCCTGTCCCCAGCAGCAGGCTCAAGTGTAGAGCTGGAAACAAGAAATAAAACCTACACATGCCCCCCAGTTCCTCCTTGCACTCACCAAGTCCTGGCCCTCCACCCTCTTCCTTCACCCTGTGTCAGTGGACACTGCAGGAAGTTATTTTTGTCACTTAACACAAGTTATTTTTGTTATTAATAAAAGCCATATAAAGTGGACAAGTCCATGGCCATCTTTGAAACCTGCTCCTGCCTAGTGCTTTGGGAGCTTGCCCCATCACAACCTCCAGCTGTAAGGGTAAAGCAGCAAGAGCCATTCCCACACAAGTGGCAGAAGAAGGGAGATCCCCACTGCATCTCTCTTGCACCACCCCCCCACTGCCAGCCTGTGGTTCCTTGGAGGAGTCTGGGCTGACAGTGACAGCACTGCAGTGCCCAGAATGGCAGCCTGGGCTCTCGGTGCTCAACCCTGCTGGCACAGTCGTGGGAGAGGTGGTGTTGGCTGGCAGGGCAGCGCAGCCCTTGGCTCTGACCCAGCTTTCTGTGGAAGGTCAGTGTGTGCCCTCCCACCAGGCACATCTGGGAGGGGGTTTAATTGCACATCACACCTCCCCACTAGGAAAACTGTGGGTGTATTGAATGCTGAGCAGTCTGTTACGCATCACTAAAGGAGGCCGCTCCTCAACTCTTTGTGGATGCAAAATTCATAGGCACGATGTCAGTTCAACACAAAATAAGCCTAAACTGCCTATGAAAAGGTTCAATTCTCTCCACCACAACATCTACTGTGCAATGCTGACTTCCATGCAGCCTCACAGAGGGCTGATGTTCAGGCTACCACAGACAGGCTGGCTGGGAAGCTGATCCGGGTGAAAGCCACTTTTTTTGTGGCATAGTTCATTTTCAGCGACATCAGCTCACTCAGTCCAGGCTATCACCACTACAACTGCTCACACTGGTCCAACAAGCAGCTGGGAGCAGAACACACCACCTTTCTCCATTGCACCCACCATTGCCAGAGCAGGGCAAGGCACTGCCAAGAGTGTGCTTGCAAGAAGTTCCCACTTGGAAAACCCTGTGTCCAGAAGACATCTGGTTTGTTGATTGGTATTTTTTGGCCAAAACTACATCAGTTTCCCTATTTGATTTAAGGTGCAACACAAACAGCCGTACCAGCATCCCATGCCACGGCCCATGGCAATCGTTGAGCTAGCCTGATTATTTCCATGCAGTTGCAATGTCAAACCATAGACACAGGAACAAATCATCAAGTTACTGGTGTTATCAAGGGTATTATCAACTACAAAGAGGTGTCATCCACAAACAGGGCATAAAAGGGGAAAACAAGGGCAGCAGCAGCGGCGCCAGGCAGTGCTTGAAGGAGAGCAAGATGAGCATGTCCACAGAGATAGCAGCAAGTAAGTGCAGGTAGGACAAGGAGAGAGTTCGAGGTACAGCTCAGATGGGACACAAGAACAGTAGTGAACTCCCAACAATAACTTTTCACAAGAAGGACAGGCAGGCAATAGAAAAAGGGTCACTGTGGACTGAAAAGGGGACTTAGACCCAGGTGGCAAACTGACAGCTTCAGGGGTGAGGGAAAGGTTGCCACTGGTGCTGGAACAGAGGAAGCTTCACCCAAAGGTGGGAAGGATGGCATGCTGCCGTCAGGAGAGGAAGGGCTGGGGAGAAAGAGAGCCAGTGTTGAAAGGGCTGGAAAAGGAAAACAGGCATGGCAGGACACACAGCCCTACCTGCCCCGCCC